TGTCGATTTTCTTTGTATCAATAGGAGCAAAAAATTAGAGAATTCTTCGATTTGGCTGTGCAACGACAAGCGATTGAGATAACAGACACCATTCAAGGTCTTGGGATTGATAATCATTTAATGGGTCTACGATATGCAGCAATGGAAGCTGGAGAAGATATTCCCGAGATTTTCACCGACGATGCTTATAAAAAAATCAATCATTTTGCTCTTTCAACATCGCAGGTAATTTTTTTTCTACTATTCTCTCAAATTCAAATATCTTCGATAATTCAAATCAATATTTTCAAATATTTTCAATAATTTCGAATTTTTTTATTAATGAAATCGAAAATATTCAAAGAATAGAGAAATAAAAAGACAAATTATTTAGATAACAACGAAAAATGATGTAATCGCGGGATATGGACCAGTGGTACCGGACGGTTATGGCTGTGGTTATAATTTACGCAAAAATGGATTTATATTTTCAATCTCGGCATTCCACAGCGATGGGAGAACGAATGCATTAAGATTTGCACAAGTTCTCGAGCGTAGCATGCAGGACATGGCTTCAATGCTGAAAAATACTTTGCAATAATTCTCAAATTATTTACAAAAGAAGAGAAAGAAAAAAAGACCAAGTCTTGTCTTTAATAAAGGTCCTATCTTATATTTAAAGAAAAATTTAAATATTACAAAAAAAAGAAAAACATAGAAAACAAAAAGTCAATATATTAGTAAATAATTATTATATATAATATATTAAAAACAAAAAAACATATCAAGAGAATGATCGATTTTATCAAAATAGACACATTTCTATTTAGAAAATTACTATAAAACTGATGAAATATTTCTAAAAATAAAAAAGAAAGAAAGAACCGTTTTAACTCACTTTTGAAAATATTGCTTGGAAATTTGAACCAAATTTGCCTTCTCAAAATTTCCAAAAAATTATATCTTTAACTGACAGAAACTATTGGACTTTTTCCTTATTAATTTAATTAATAAAGAAAAAAATGCTAAACAAGTGAGCACGATAAAACGAAAGTAGATAACGAAATAATAAAGACAATGGTACTATATGTGTAATAATATTTACGCTTAAAATTAGAAAATTATTATTGTAAAATGAGAATCGAGGACAGCGATATTCAAAATATAATCCCTAAGTGATATTAATTGTAAATAAATTCAGAAGCAATTGTTTAATCAAAAAGCAATTTAACATATCAATTAAATTATTTCATTATTTTAAATTTATTTTAAATATATTTTCAAAAATTCTTAAAACTTGTTAAATATTTCTAAATATTTAAAAATATTCTTAAATATTTTTGAATATTTCTAAATATTTCTAATATTTTAAAATATTTTTAAATATATTTTTAAAAAAAATTTTATTCTAAAATATTTTAAATATATTTTCAATTATTTTTAAATATTTTTGAATAATTTAAAAAAATTTACAAAAAATTTACAAATATTTTATTATTAAATATTTACAAATAATTTTTAAAATTTTCAAAAAATAATTTACCTAATAATAAGAATTATGAACAAATATCAATTATCATTCAAAAGAATTATTTTAAATTTTAAATTTACAGAAAGCCTTAAATCGAATTTCCCCAATTGCAAAAAATAAAAAATAATACAGGAATTAAACAACAAAACGGAATTGAAATTAAATTTAAAAAAGAGATTTGAATTATATTTTTCTAAAATTCTCCGCACGTAAATATAAAATAAAGAAAACTGATTTTCCATAAAACAATTGCTTCTGATTAAGTAGAAATACTACAATAATTATTATATTTTGCTCATCGCTGATTATAAGAAAACCGCACTTGTTTTCTGTCTCGTCTCCTCTCGACGGGAATCAAATCTCATAAATTGATCGAACATGTACCTAATTACACTTGTTAACAGATGAAAAGTATTTATCAAAATCACGATTAGAGTGAAGGCATATTGATTATAAATTAAATCATATATATATAGTATATATGTATAGTATAATATAAAAAAAAATCGCATATCTCTCGATCAGAGAATGCCAATCAATTAATAATATTTATGTACGCGCACTAATTAGAAAAATATTGAAACAAAAAAAAAGAAAAATAATAGCTATTCGTCATTTCTATTTTATAATGAAAAAATGAAAGAAAAAAAAAATACAAACTATTTTGTTGATGTAATTTTGATTTGAAGAATTTACTGAATTGTTATTAAATGAAAAAAAATATATAGAGAGAATATTATTATTAAATGAACTAAAAAAAAGTATCTATACAAAAAAATAGAACAAATTTTAAAAAATATATTAGTTAGGAAAATATTATTTATTATATTAAAATAGAAATATTGAAATTTGTATTTTAAGAATATTATTTATGAAACTGTTAATTATAAAAAATAATTACGAAACTGTTATTTACGAGAATATTTAAGTCATTTTAAAAAATGCAAAAAAATATTAGTTTATCTACGAAAGTTTGAAAATTGTAAATTGTTAAATTAAACATTTATTCTTAAATTTTTTTTCGAATTTTATGTTAAATTTACGTTAGGTTTAATTTATAAACGTTAAGTTTGTTAATTTATTAAAGAAAATAATTCAAGCAGACATATTGAAATCAACATAAATCTTTCATAACAATTAGCAATAATTAACAATAATTTAACGAGTAGTGAGAAAGAATTTTTTTTGGAAAATAAGATTTATGTTAATTTATCTATCAACGACGCGACTGAGTCAAATAATGTAGAAAATAAGTAATTGCATGTTAGATTTGTAGCATATCAATCGTATTTTAATCGTAGCATCTAGACTGTTTGCAAATGTCTTTCAAATCATAATTTAATCATTGGAGAGCTCCAAAAAAAAATTCCTATCACAAGAACGATTTTTTAAAACAATACAAAATAAATATAAATTCAATTTTTCAACTTTTCGAATAATTCAACAATTTTTTCATTAATTTATTGATTTTTAAATTGCTAAAATCAATTTGAAAAAAATTAGAAAATTGTTGAAAAATTTTTTTTTAAAAAGAAAATTAGCCTCCCGATTAAAGAAAAAAATTAATTAATTTAATTGATGGAGATTCTCCAATGATTTTGTGTATCGCAAAAAAAAAGTAGCCAGTTCTCGACTGGCGCCCGCACAGAAACTCTTGTCCAATTCTTAGATATGTCGACAGACTCTCTTTCATGTCTAAAAAAAAGTCGACAATAGCTACTATCAAACTATCTATCTATTGCGCTATCCCTCCATAAACTATACTATAATTTTTAGAAAATAAAAATAGAAAAATAAAATCAATACATAATTCTCACCATCATTTGGAGTGAAGTGACAATCCTCTTGTGGAAAAGCAAAAATTTTGCTATTTCAAGACTCATCCTTTGTCGAATTTTCTTTTCCATTTCTCAAATTACCTGTGGAAAAATTAAAATTCATTAATAAAAGTTGCTAAATCGTAAATTATAAATTATAAACTATTAATTATTATAAATTATATCTAATAATTATATTCATACATTAAATTCAGAAAAAAATACAAAAAGAAAAAGTGTACAAAATAATGTATACAATAAAATAAAATACACAATAATAAAACATACAATCCAATAAATACGAAATTAAATAAAGAAATTAATTTAATTAATAATAAATTCCAAAGAACAAAATAGAAAATATTTATCAAAACACACAATTTTTTTTGTCATTTCACTCCTAATAGCGAGAGATCACACTGAACGTACCAAAAAAAATTCGAAAACACAATAGATTGTAGAAACCTAGAATTACATCCTGTTATCCTGAAAAGGAATAAGTATTTATTTCAAATTATAACGAATAATGTTACTGTATCGCTACCTATAACTTGCCCTCGATTTAGATTTCGGAGAAAATAGTGATGATAGAAAATATTTATATTTTACGAAACATTTTCTCCTCCTGTTAAGTTTGTTAAATGTTTGATTTAGACATTCTTTCAGATGATTATACACTATATAACGCACGTTTTTCATACTGAAGAAATTATTTAGAAAAAATATATAGCAGGATGTGCCTCTTCGTTCTTGTTACAAAAAAAAGAGAGAAAGAAATATTTAATTAAAAATAAAAACATATATAGAGATATCCGAAGAAAGCGTGGAAAATTGAACGAAAAATAATTCGAAACAAGATTTACTTCTAATTACAAAAAGAGAATTCTTTTTCCAAATCAACCAAATTTATTCTAACAATAAATTAATTCTCGATAATTCTCTCACTAATTGATTTTCAAGAGAAAATAAAATTGTCCTTCATAAAAAAATGGTTTTTTCTAGAAAAATTTTTTTAGAAAACATTTTTTCTTTCTAAAATTCCCCTTAGGAAAATTATCAAAGGAAAATTTTTCACGCTTAATTCCTTTGAAAGTAAAAGAAAATATTAGTTTTTAAGAATATAGAAAATAAATAAATAGTGTTGATTTAAACATATCGCGAAGATTTGTGATCGCACTTTTTTTGCGGCCAGGAATAAAAAACGCATATCAGGCGAAAGCCCTCAAAACATATTGAAAGTAATCTTAATTATAAGTGATAGAATGCATGTGAAAAAATTTTTATGAATGTAAGACGCTTCTTCAATAAAAGGAAACAAAAAAAAAATTCTTAGCACCTTAATATGCGAGGTAGTTTCAAAATTATTCTAATATCCTTTCTTAAAAAACAGAAAGCTTATTTAAAAAGAAATAAACAATAATTATGGGAACGATACAACAAAAATTTTTAAACTCAATAAAAGAAATATTTAAAAAAAGAATTTCTTACTGCCTCGCGTATAAAATCGCTTTGCGTGTATGTTGCCTAGTGTAAATTAAAGAAGCAAACTCGACTTTCTATTTCTAAGGAAAGCATACAAAGTACACGTACAACGTACCTTCGTAAGAAATTAAACTTACAATAAGCTAAATGTATGTTTCGTTGTGCAGAAATAAATTCTGTTACGACATCTATTCGAAGTTGTCATTTTTATTCAAAATAGTCTTGAGTACACTATTCACTCCTTTTTTTTTATAACGAAGAATAAATTTTTTATTTCCTCCTACTTTTATATTTTATATACTCTCCTTAGTCTTTAAATTCCTATCAATTTTTTCATGAAAAAAAATTTTTTCCTCATATCTTACATCTATATTCTTATTTTACACTTTTTGCTCTCATTCCATAATATTCTTTCGTAAATCTTTCTACTTTTATATTTCATTTTTATTCACATTCAAGATCGAATCATTCCTTTTTAATTCTAAAACTTTTCTTCTTTGTTATTTTCAATTCAAAATATTTAATTGGAAAATTGATTATTCTCTCAAGAATACAATTTCTAAAACATATTTTCCAATTTTTATCGGCGTATTGATAAAATTTCCAATGAAAAGTTTTAGACGACTTAATTTATACGATAATTATTTTCATTCCCTCATAGAGGTTGCTCTTAAATTTTATCAAAACTATCACTAGCCATTATTTCCATTGAAAATGGAACTTGTGAACTAAGTACTATTTACAGCTATTATAGAGATGGGATTTTTCGAAGATATAAAATTAATTCAACACTTTGTGGAGCAGATTTTCAAAATTAATGATAAATTTTGTGTTTGAGATTGCAAAAAAAGGGGGGGGGGGAATTTATGTTAATCACAATTAACGAATATTGTCTTTTTCATAATCGAGACGATTAGTCAGCATTCACGTCATCATAGGCGCGAGCGAAGCTGTGAGAGAGAAGAGAATTTGCCGTTGGTCGCTTTCTCGAATCATGTTGTAAACATTTTTGTATAAAATCAATTCCTTCCTGGGAAAGACTTTTTGGCAGCGCAGGAGATTCTCCCATACCAACCTATGAAGAACCTTAATTTTAATAAATACCATTTTTTCCTCTCTCCATCGATTTTTTTAATTCACTTAATATTTAGAATTCTCATCGTTTTATTAACGTCTATTCTACCTTCATTTTCAATTTAATCTTTAGCCACATTAAGATTTTATAGTAATATTTTTAATAATAAATCTTAAGAATATTAAATATTTATTTAAAGTTTAAATTTTTAGTTTAAGTTTAATTAAAGTTTTCCTATTTCATTTAAGTCTAATTAAAGTTTAAATCTTCAGTTTAAGTTTAATTAAAGTTTAAATCTTTAGTTTGGATTAATTAAAGTTTTCCTATTTAAAATTTAATTAAAGTTTAAATTTTTATTTAAAGTTTTTTAAAAATTTAAATGTGTTCATTTTGCGAACAATTTGGAAAATTTTGACAAAATTTCCGTAACGATAGTAAGTTTTTTGTTTTTAAAGAAAATACCAAAATGAATCATACCTTGAACATTATTTGGTAATTTGAATCGAACTCCGACCAGGGTCTTCGTCCGCTGGACATTTCAACGACGCAGCATCCAACGGACCAAATATCCGCAGCCCTGCCATGTCCACTGCTCTCGTTTTTCATGAATATTTCCGGAGCCATATAAGCTTGTGTCCCAACGAAACCTTGCAATTCACCTGGCATTGTCGTGTGCGCCTTAATTTGAACCGCACAACCAAAATCTCCCAATTTCAAACAATCTCCTTCATTTGTTAAAAATATATTGGCAGCTGTAAACAAAAATTTTCATTTTATCAAAAAAAATTTAATTTTTAACTTTTTAAATTCATTAAAAAAATTTCATTATTTACAAAAAAAGAAAAAAAGAATAAGAATTAAAGAATTAAAGAAACAAAAATAATTATTAAAATAATGTACTTTTAATATCTCGATGAACTATTCCATGAGCATGAAGTACTGCAACCGCAAGAAGCATTTGATTCGTATATTTTCGAACTAAAGTTTCAGGCAAACCAATTTCACTTCCAGCGACTAAACTTTCAAGAGTGCCTTCTGCACAAAATTCCATGAATATCAACATTTCTTCCTGGAAAATGACAATTTATTTTATTAGTAAAATACAAAATTGTTATATAATTTTTTCAAAATCTCTAATCTAATTCACTCTAAACTAATTCAGGGTTGCCACAAAAATTTAACTTTGTTTTTCCCTGACTTTTCCCTGATTTCCAGATAAAAATTCGCTTTTTTCTCTCTAATAAAAAAAAATTCTCTAATACATTTATTTAGTAATTTCTTTAATTGTAAAATTATTCAAAATCATCAATAACTTCTTCTTTAAATAAATATTTAATCATTATTATTTTTCCATTGGAATTAAGATGTTCAAAAATTTTTAATTTAAACTGTGCATGAATTGAATTATTTCAAATTGAAAATTATAAAAGTTACAAAAATCGAAAAATTTTCTTTAAAATGCTTTTTTTTAAATTTAAAATTTAAAAAGTTCATTTACTAACGTAAAATTATGGAAAATAATTTCTAAATTTTTCTTGCAAAAATAGTATCACACAACTTATTTTCAAAATCTGAATGAGTAAAAATTATAACTAATTAGAACAAAAATGATACGAAATTTCCAAAATTTGATTTTTTAATTCTACATTGAACAAGTTACTAAAATAAATAAGTTTTTTTTTTTTTGTCAAAAAAGTAAATCGAAATAAATAAATTAGAAGCTTACTCTGTGAACCTCCAAGCCATAATATCGCACCAAATGTTGATGTTGAATACCTTCGAAGATTTTAAGTTCCTCTGCAATCCTTTTAATAGCTCTGTGATCTCCAGGTTGAAGTTGAAGTTCCTTCATAGCTAGAAGTTCTCCCGTCTGATTATTGACAACAGTATAAACTTTTCCAAAACGTCCCTGACCTGTTGAAATTGATGAATTATTTTCAATTCTTGATTATGTCATTTTATTTCAATTTCTCAATTCAGCATTTTTTTTTTTCTAATCTCTTACTACATTTTTCAAATGTTAAATATTTTTATTTTCAATTTTCAATTTTTTAAATTCTTCCAAATTATCTCTTTTAGATACAAACCAATTTTAATTCCTCTCTGCCATGTGAAGGTGACACGTTTAGCTTTTATATGAATTTTATCAACGCTTTTCCTGTCAGTAACTTGTCCAATTAGCTCGAGACTCTTTAATTTCTCATTTATAAGAACCTCTAATTTTTGCACCGCTTGCAAAACTCTTTCTTGTCTTGTGAACGTATTCTCGGATGTTGTCGCACTCCCATCAACGGCCGTTTGCGATGGTGATTTTTTTATTAATCCCAAAACTTCCGGAGACTTCAAGAAATCTTTATTTTTTTGATTGAAACTCGATGCCCTGTTTCGTCCCTGTGAGGGCGATGATGCTCTCGAATGTGATAATTTTTTCAAACCTGGAAAAAACAATTAGGAATAAAAAAACTAAAAAAGCAAAGAAAAATGGAAAAGAAATTAAATTTTTCAAAGATATAAAGAACCTTCGCCTTCTGAATTAATTCCCGGCGATGAGGCACTGCCAATAACGTGAGAAATACACCGATCCATGCACGATTTCAACTCCTCGAATTCATCGTCAGTCAAATATTTAGTATTAAGTGGTTCGCAAACAGTCATTAAATAATCCAAACCCTGATTTGCCCATCTTGGTCGTAGACCTCGTCCACGTTCACAACGATTCCTCACAAAGTTCATCCACAAAAAGGCAAAGTCAACTAAATCGTGAACAAGAAGTTCTCTTTCTTGCGATAAAAATAATCGACAAAGTTCTTTATGATACTCAAAGCCCATTCGATAGGCTTGATGTAAAATTTCTCTGACTCTCGTTCGAAATGCTAGACAATCGACTTCAATTACTTCTATAGGTTCCTTAACTTTGTCGATTTTATTCTGAAACTCTTGAATCACTAAAACGATTTGTCGTCTTAAATTTAGAACTCCATCCTGAAAAAATAATAAAATATCAAAAAAAAAAAGAAATCTTCTAAAAGAAAACTTATAATTCTCATGTCATTTTTAGAATCAATATTTTTTCAAATAGAAAATTTCGACATACTTTTAATGAAACGATGCAATGTTTTAAATCGTCATTAAATTCAGGCCAATTTTCAATTTCATTTCTCACGCATTTGGCAAGATTGACACTTTTTACGACATTATTTTGAGCCTTTACGAACATTCCCTGCCATTCACGACCAACCGACATCCAGTGAAATCTAGAAAAAGGAAAATTATTACTTCAGATATCAAATTAAAAAATAAATCAAAATTTTTTGAATAAAATTCTTACCTCGTTGACCATTCCTCATCTTCCTTGGACACTTCACTTTCATTAAGTTCCTCAGGTCTTTCAGTTAGAAATTGTATAACTTGTCTTATCATCATTTGAACAATCTCACTACAAAAAAAAGTACAAGATTAATTTCTACTCTATATTATAATTAAATTTAATTTAAGTTTATTTTTATTAGTATTAAAGATTTTTTTAAACTTGAATAAACGAGACTTAAAGCACAGGAGAAAATCACTCACCAAAATTTTTTCCCAGCTATTGAGTAACCGTCAACAATATCAGGAGCGATGGACTTGACAAAATTCCATTCCTTCATAATTAGATTTTTATGAAAACTGTCGTGATTCACCATCTCGACCCATTGCTTTAAATAATCGAGATAAACTTCAAAAACAGCTTTTAAACTAGTGTCAAATTCTTTTAATTCCTGTTGAAAGAAAGCGTCACTATTTTTCTTATCACAAGCCATGGCGACGAGTGAATGTTTTGCAAAACGATCACGATGAAGACATGCAATTCTAAGACCCTCACGAAGTTCCCTCATTAATTGACGAACTGACAAAGGACTCGGTTGTTCTGGCTTTTGTTCCAGTCTCATCATCATAAACTCGTGAATAACGTCCAAAGGAACGCGCGAGAGAAATAAAAAGGCTGCTCTAAAATAAATACAATTACAATAAAATAGAATACAAATTACAATAAATAATAAATTTCAAGAAAAATTTTGAGTAATTAAGTAAATAGTGACTAGTGATTAATAATATCAAAAAAATTTTTAAATACCTGTAAGAAGGTAAATTTATTTCCTTGGCTTCTGGACTCCAAGCTCCGTAACGTCTTAATTCATCATCGCCTTCGAATTCTTCAGTTCCACTGCTGTCACAGTCTTCCTGATGTTTCTCTAAAGACAATCTTGCCTTTCGTAGAAGTGTCGTGTGCAGTCTTTCCAAAAAATTTAAACTCTTTCTCAGTCCTTTTGTCTTTAAAACATCTTCTATGTATTTTCTATTAAAAGAATTATTAAACAAGAGTTTAAAAATAATCTTTACATAATTTCAAAATTTTAATTTCTTATTTTAATTTTAATTTTTTATATTTGAATAAATAAATATTAAAAATACAAATTAAATATAAATGAAACATAAATTATATAAAAATTAAATATAAATAGGTACACGTTTATAATATTTAATTAAAAATTTTTAATTTCATTCCTTTAGTATTAAAAAATTTCCTGCATTTAAAATACAAATAATTTAGACTTTATTTTTCTATTTATATAATAAATAATACTTTCCTATATCATGAGAATTACCTGTAGGCTTGACGATCAAACTCCATTAAGTAAAAATCAAGTCTTTCTAATTTTTCATCTTCGGTGTAACTAAAAGCTGATTCTGACGATGAAGAATACGTTCTTCCAAATGAGACACCACTGATTGAAGATGAATGAGATGCATTACTATTGTTACTATCAGACGGACTCGTATTGTCATCAGGAACTTCAAATCGAACCAATGATGGTCGTTGTTCCATCGAATGATCGCTATTTGTATTGTGTGATCTGAAAATTAACACAAAAATTTGATAAAATTTGACTCGAGATAAATTGAATTCACAATTGTAATTAATAATTAATAATAGTAATTAATAGATAAATATTGAAAAATTATTAAAATAAAATAATAAAATACAGAAAATAATAACAAATAAAATAAAGAAATAAAAATAAAGAAATCAAATAATTAATAATAAATAAAATAAATAAATCCTAAATATTAAAAATAAATTTTTAAAAACAGGTAAACATTCTTTTTTAATGGAAAGAAATTTATAATATTTCAAAAGTCATACCCAAAACCGCTGTCAGTATTATCGTCGTGTTTCTTTTTTGTATGTAACAACATTAGCAATTTTCCCAGAATTAACAACTTGAGTCGATGTTGCCGAGTCATATTATACCTTTTAAATTTGTTAATTATTAGAGTTAAGTCAATTAGTAAAAATACCAAGTGGATCAAATTTTATAAATTGAATCTCTATTTATTGAAAATAAAAACAAATTTTATTTAATTTCAGGCTTCGCATTTGTTAATTAAAAACAGTAGGTTCAAGAGTAAACATTGATTAGATTAGATTAATTTTCATTAATAATGTTAAACTTAGTAAAAATATTTTTGATTATTCTGAAGAAAATAAATATTAATTTTTTGTCAACTATTAGCGAGTTTCAAGTAGTGCAAATCCTTAAAAAAAAGAAAAGAGTAGCTTTTAGTAGCATAAATCTAAAAAAAAGTATCCAAAACGTAGCAGATTATAAAAAAGTAGTAAATATCTGTCTGTAAAAAATTAATCGGATTACAAAATCGCTCTATTAAAACTTGATCCACTGAAAAATTAAAAAAAGTATCTAAAATAATTTTGAGAGAACAATTTTCATACATACCAGAGGCACATTGCTTTCACTCTGCCAGTGAATTCGAGACTCTTACTAAGAGGATATTGACTAGCAAAAGCTTGCGACGATGGGAATAGTGTTTCCGCAGCCTCAAGTCTCGCAAGCAATACTTCAACTTGTTTTAAAGCGTCAATTTGAGTTCGAACACAAGTTCGGCAATACATAGAGAGACATCCATAGCAAATGGTATTTTCAGTACAATTTGGAGAAGAAAATTTGATGGACTCCACATCATTAGTTGAACTTGATCCACAAGAATTGAGATTCCCGACTCCACTGTATCTGCAAAGAAAAAAAACATTTTGCTTGCCGTTAAATAAAAATTAAATCAATAAATAAAAAATCAAATAAATAAATAAAAAGCAAAATAAATAAACAGAAAACATTTTTTAATTTTAAGTTATAATTTTCTTAAAAAACTTTAACAGGGAAAATTCCAGAAATTTTTTTAAATTAAAAAAAAAATTATTTACTGTTCCTAAACTATGGCAAGAACAATACCAATTAATATCTGGGTCATCGAAATGAATTTAATTCACAATTAATAAAAAGTAACCACAGCCGATAATCAGCAGAAGATGCAAAATTATATTTTGAGCGAACTTTATCTTCTGTTTATAAACAACTGTTAGTCAAAAAATTATTTACTGGTCCTAAACTATTACTAGAACAATTCTAATAATTATCTGAGTCATCAAAATTAATTTAATTCACAATTTCTAAAAAGTAACCACAGCCGATAATCAGCAGAAGATGAAAACTTATTTTTTGAGCGAACTTTATCTTTTGTTAACTAACAATTGTTAGTCAAATATTTTTCTAAAGGTCTCAAAGTATTGCTGGAAAAATTCCAATAATTATCTAGGTCATCAAAATTAATTTAATTCACAATTTCTAAAAAGTAACCACAGCCGATAATCATCAGAAGATGAAAAATTATTTTTTTAGCGAACTTTATCTTCTGTTTACAGGGTATCTAACAAGGATTGAGAAAATAATTCTCTGACTTTTCCCTGCCTTTTTACTAATTTTATTTCTGCTTTCTTGGGACAAAAATATGGTAACTGACATATTTAACAATAAATTAATATCTAATGATAGAAACAAACGATAATAAAAATCTTTTAAGTTTTCTTAGATTAAAAAAATTTGTTATTCACAAAAATTTTAATTTTTGTATAAATTTTTAGAAATTTCCCTGACATTCCCTGACTGTTAAACACCCTGTTAATAGTTTCCACCCTTTAGTAAAAAATTTAAAATTATCAAAAATTCGAAAAACCGATTTTCTTAAAATACAACATTTTTTCTTTCCTTTTATGGCATTTAGCTTCATTATTTTTGGGCTCTTCAAAAACACTTAACATATTTAATAGTCGGCACTCTTTGGTAAAAATTTTAAATTTATTAAAAATTATCAAAAATTCAAAAAACCGAATTTCTAAAAATTCAACATTTTTTCTTCTCTTTTATGACATTTATCTTGACTATTTTTGGGCTCTTCAAAAACACTTTACTTATTTAATAGTCTGCATCCTTTGGTAAAAAATTTGAAATTATTAAAAATTACCAAAAATTTGAAAAACCGAATTTCTTAAAATTCAACATTTTTTCTTCTGTTTTATGGAATTTTGCTTCACTATTTTTGGGCTCTTAAGAAACACTTTACTTATTTTATAGTCTCTATCCTTTGGTAAAAAATTTAAAATTATTAAAAATTATAAAAAAATTTGAAAAGAATAGGTACTATTAAAGGTTTTGACAATAATTGAATTCTTTCAAAAAATTTCTATAATTTATTGAATATATCTAATCAATTTCGTTAATAACTGTAATTTATAATTTTACTATTTAAACTTTATGAAAATCTTTGAATATAATTGAAATCATCCGAAGAATTTTATTATTTAAGAAAATAATTAAAATTTTCAAAAGAATTTTAATTTATACGAAGATAATTGAATTTTTAGAAAGAATGTTATTAATTTTTTTTTTTTAAATAATTCCAATCCTTTGCAAAATTTTATTATTTATGAAAATAATTGAAATCTTGCAAAGATTTTTATTAACATTTTGGAAAAATAATATAATTGTTTCGATGAAAATTTAAATTCTTTGGAAGAATTTAATTATTGATTGTATTGAAAATAATTGAATTTTTAGGAAGAATTTTATTAAAATTTTAGAAAATAATTGAATTCTTTTAGAAAATTTTATGACGAATTGAGAAATAATATTGAATTCTTTTGTGAAATTTTATTGGTAATAATTGAATTTTTGCAGAAAAATGTTATTACTTATAAAAATAAATGAATTCTTCCAAAGAATGTTATTATTTATGAAAATAATTGAATTCTTCCGAAGAATAAGTGAATTTTTTAAATTTTGATTATGAAATTATTCAAAAATTTATATTTGAAAATAAAAAATGTTGTAGATAATTTGTATAATAATAATAATAATAATAATAATAATAATAATAATAATAATAATAATAATAATAATAATAATAAATTAATTGAACATGACGTTCCACGCGCGTAGTTCTTTATAAGTAAAAATAAAGATCTCACCGGTACTCGAGTATTTCCCTGAGTAATGGACCAACAGCTTCTCGTTGCTTACAAAGAAATTCATCTTGAGCCAAAGGACTTCGATCAGCTTTATTGGCCTGTAATTCAAGCCAAATTAAATCCTTCAATTCATTTTGCCATCTTGTTTCCTCCCGACTCATTTGACGATTGCAATTGTTTCGTTCTTTGTCCGTACTTCCCTACCGGAGAAAATTAGAGATTAGAAATAAATTAAAAAAAACAGATAAGTAACAAACTATAAGAAAAAATTAGAGATCAATAAAGTAAATTAAATAATAAAAAATAAAATAACTATAACTAGAAAACAAAGCAGATTAAACAAAAAATAATACTAGAAAATAATTAAATTAGAAACTTAGTTTCTTAATTAGTTGTTCGTACAAGTTTTATCAGGAATGAAAAAGTATCATGAAACAATTCTCTCTCCTTGAGGCTTTGTGTCCTTGGAGAATGAACAATCGGTTCGGTTTCAGTGACGCTAAGAAGTTCCTTGCCCTGAGATTCGTTAAACTTCTCCTCAACGTCGACAGGTTTTGAACACAGACTTCGAAATCTATTTCGAGTCTCAATCTGTAAGCGTAATACATAATTGTTTTGAATTAAAGCCAAGATTTTGATTTGAACGTGAAAAAAAGGTCGTACTATAATTATATATATTTTAAACAAAATAATATTTGGAATTTTTATTTTAATTTATTTTCAAATTTATTTCAATTTATTTTTAATTTCTTTTCAATTTCTTTTCCATTTATTTTCAATTTCTTCTCAACTTATTTTCAATTTAATTAATTAATTTTTTTATTTATTTATGTTTATTTAAATTTCCTCAGTATCAATAAATGTTAATTATTAATAAATTATTACCTTAATATTATTAGGAGTAGGAGGCATTGCTTCATCATTCCTATCAAGTTGGGCAGCTGCAATGTCAAGTTTTAAATCCTTATCGAATCCTCGAAGTAATTTTAGACACCTTTTAACTTTTCGGCATCCTTCTTTAGCCAACTCCCTCTTCGTCTCATTATCGCGAACTATATCAGCCTCATCACACATTTCATTAAAAATCATTGCATCCAAATTACTCTGTTGATTTGAATTCAATTTACTTTGTATGACCTTTTCGCATTTAGCGAGTCTGTAAAAAATTTCCAATCATTTCAAAATGACTATTCTTTCAATCAAGTTTTTGAAAATATTTAATTATATAAATACTCACAGTCTACATTCACGATGCTTTTTACGATTGTGTCTCTTTGAATTACGAGATTTTCCATTATCCTTTTGATCAGCTTCATCTATCATTATCTCTGACGACAAATTTGTTGTTTCAACGAAAGGATCACATATGTTTGGACTGAAAAAAAGTTAGTTTCCTCAGAAAATAGTTATCGTTTTCCATTAGCGTGAGAATATAATAAAAAAGAATATAAGTTCCTATAACTTAAAAGCAATTAAAAAATAATTAAAAATATAGTTTTCAATCAAAGTTAACCTCTAAAAAAAATTCTTTTCCACTAGTTTAGATATTATTACAATAACAATTGTCGATCAAATAAAAAACAAAGTTGAAAACAATGTAAAATAACAAATGATAATGATGAACAGATAATGACTTGCGAATAGAAAATACTTTACCTTAAATCAATAAACTTTGCTAACTGTGCATTTATAATACGCTTCATTGTTTATACAAATATAGAAAATTGAAATTGTAACAATAACTTGCAAGAAGTAACAAAATAGATGAAATAAAATTTTTAAACTCGTAATTTTAACTGTAAATTAGCGGTGTCAGGAACTTAAAACTATATATATGCACGAACTGTGTTTAGGTTAGGAAACATTCTTGGAATATTTTCAAAGAGATTTGCATATAAATCAAAATGTAAATAACACTAATGAAAAGTAAATGCCGCGTTTTTTAAGACAATAATAAATTTCAAAGTTTGTTATGTCATTGAAAAAATTTGAAAGAGAGAAAAAAAAATTACAAATATTTACCTCTCGTGACAATTCTTCTTTTCATGTTATTCTTTCTTAGAATAATATTTTCCCCGTCTTTTTAACTGTTACAATTGATTGATATTTCCTATTTATAATGACATATTTATTCGTTGTAAAATAATTATTTGTTTTTACTGCGGCCTGCATACGTTGCATGTAATGGAGCACTCACAGCTCTGCCTGCCTGCGCAGGCAGTAATTGGAGTAAGAGAGAAAGTCAATTAGAGTGAAAGAGACAGTAAATTCAAATTTGTATGCTGCCTACTAGCTGTGAGTGCGCCTTTACTTTACGTCATTTTCTTTGCGAAATTTTCGATTTTCCCCCAAACAGCAGTGTTGTGATATCACTTTCGAATATTGGCAACACTGTATACTAGAGTTTAAATTTCATGATCACGTGATGACGCTCAATTTTCATCTTTTCTTTTCTTTCGCTATTAAATCTGCAAAATGGAAAAGGGTAGTTAAAAAATGGTTTTCTTAAGGTGCTTCTATACCTCTGGTGGATTGGTCAAGCAATCGATTATTATTATATTAAATAATAATGAACAGACAACACAACGCTAGGTTATGTACATTCATAACAAACCTAACAAACAGTCTGTACCGTCTGTACTAGCATTTCAAAAACATTAGGCTTTTTACACTTCTTTGGAAAATTAAAACATTTTGAATTAAAATTTGATAACTTTTAAAATAAAACATGTTTTTTAACATAAATTTCAAAAGAATTTCTATGATAAAATCATTTTTTTAAATAAATTTTCAAGTAAAAACCTTTTCAACATTTACTTATTCAAAAATACCCGCCATGAAAGTACATTTTCCGACCGTGAAAATTCATCGAGCCGATTGCTTGACCAATCCACCGGAGGTATAGAAGCACCTTTACAATTTACAATAATAAAGGAAAATAATTCTAATTTTTTCTTTTTGTAGTTTAAAAAGAAAAGAAAATTCATTGAGAATTCAAAAGCCGGTATGCAATTGGTCCAGTATAGGAAAACGTTTGACCAATAGAAAAGCGGAATTTATTTGACTTTTACCGCCATTTGTTATTTGAAAATACAAAAAATGTAACAGCTTACAGCTATAAAAGTAAATTAAAAATTAGTATTGGATTATCAGATTATAATAATAATTACTATCATAAAGCAAATATAGACGAAACTATAATAAATTCAGCTAATATTGAAATAGTTTTTTCCAAATATTTATTTAAATGTTTAAAAAGATGTTAAAACTTAAAAATTATTTTTTCCAAACGAGCAAATAAATTCCAAACTTCCTAATACTTAAAATATCTTCTTGACATTAAAAAACAATTTATCTTCTATTAAAATAAAATTTAAATATCTTAAAAAAAATACTGACCTCCAGTTGAAATTCTTCTTTTTCATAAAAACAATTCACGTAAAATATTCTCTTATTTTACTTGCGTTCATTTCAATTTTTATCATCGTGGAAAATCTGAAAAATAAAAAAAAATCATCTGTTATTAATGTAAAAATTAATATTTATTTATAATAAAAAAAATATATATGACTTTTTTTCAATAATAATAATAATAATAGGAATAATGATAATAATAATAATAATAATAATAATAGTATAAAAAACAAAGATCAAATAATATTTATATTATTATAAAAATAATATATCTATTTTAAACAAATAATAACACCTCATGTTCATCAACACCTCATACAAAAAAATTTTTTTAAACAAATATAAAATACAAAATTAAATAATAAATAAAAAAAATTAGAAATAAAAATTGAGAAAGAGAAAAAATTGTTATTTTAATAAAAATTGTAAACACACAAACAAAATCTGTTGATAAATAATAAATAAAAAATTTTTTTATAGTAATAAAAATGATAAAATCTGGATTTTACAAAAACTTCTAATAAATAAAATACTAAAATAAATAAAAAATAAATTAAATTAATAAAATGATAATTAAGTGAAATAAATAAAATTGAATAAAATAAATAAAAAATAAAATAAATAATTTATTTAATTTCTTTAATAATTCAGGAAAAGGTAATGATGAGGAATTGAGGTATTGATTATTAATATAATCAATATATGCGGTATTAGTTTTATTTAAACAATCTCTAGCCTTTCCAGCAAAGTACAAGTATAATTTTTCATATATCCTCGCACCAACATTTTTCTTTTTAATTTACAGTGCCTTCTCTTTTTTCTTTTTTTTTTAATTTCCACCAGCGTGCTTGAGTTCTCTTTCTAAACCATCAATATAATAACTTTTATTATAATATACGAATTATCGTAAAACGTTAGTTAAAATATTGAACAAAAAGAAAAAAACTTTTATTTATGGCCGTTTAAAATATTGACTCTCTTTTTCTCTTTCATTGAAATTAAAATTCAACGAAATAAAAACAAGTTTCATTCAATTCTCTCTTGATAAAGAGTGATTTCTTCAATTTCTAAGATAAAAATTGAATAAATTAACTCACGACAACTCTTCATAAATGTTAATGTTAACAAATTAATGATTTTAAAGTTCACTCGTTTAAATGATTTTTTATGTTAAGAATCTATTAAAGAAAAAATATTTTAAAATCTAGAAATTAACAATATTAACAATTAACAAAGAGTGTCGTATCTAAACTATCTTAATGGAACAGACAGTAGTGTAGAAAATTTTTTTTCTCCACATTAGTGTAAAAATTCATTTTTCTTTTAAATGTACAAATTTATTTTCTCTCTCTCTCTCTCTCTCTCTTTCTCTCTCTTAGTTATAAATAATTCACCATAATTGGAAAAATGTTAGGCGTTCGATCAATGTTTATTTACACGTAGTACGATATTGCATTGCAATTTTCTAAGTCCGCACTATTTAATATTCTATAAAACAAGTTTTTTTTTATTTGGACGAATATAATTCGATGAATTTTAAGTACCGTTCGGAAAAAATTGTTTTTTCTTTTTTTATCAAAAATTCTATTTTTTGCTCCCAATAACTATTTTCTAAATATTTTTAAAAAATTTCTCTTTTTTGTATATTATAATATTCGTAGCAAAGATTGAATAATAATTTACAGTAAAGTTCGTCTGGAATGTTTTTTTTCTTCATGTAGTTTATATTTAAACTTTCAAGACGACGGTAGAAAAAATATTACTTTTTTGTTTATTAAAAAAAAAAAAAAAAACACTTTGTGGAACAGTTCAAAAGATGTTTTTTTTTTAAAGTTTTCTTTGTCGATTTTCTACATATTATAAATTTGTAGAAGTTTGAAACGACCATAGTTGACATTTAATAGTATTTTAATAACACTGCTAAACTGTAAACATTAATATTAATATAATAATATAATAATAATATAATAATATAATAAGACTACTAATTTGTAAATATTACTATTAAATATAATGAAAAAATATCTATCATTATTTCATTTGATAATGCTTTTTTAAATTTCTTGTTCACGATTGTAACGAGTGGTGGTTTTGATAATACTACAAGTGATGAATAATTATCGACGGACATTCGGACAAATTTTTTTTTTTTAAATTCTGATCAACTCGGATGTCATTCGAATCTGAATTTTATTTTTTACGAAGAAATGACAATTGGCAGCATTTATAAAGACAGTTGGTACATTTTTTTCTTTCTCTTTTTTATTCCAAAAATAGAGTTTAAAAAAAATTGTAAAAAAAAATTACAATTTCTTTAAAAAATTCTCAGTAGTTTGTGTTAAAATTTTTTTTCCAGTCAAACTTTTTGTTTTTGTAACACAGGTCGTACCAAACCGCCACGTCGTTTTCTTCCATTCATTCTTTGTTTGTTTTTTTCTCTTGAAAATTCTTTGCACTCTCACATATGCAAGCACACATTTTCTCTTTCTCTCTCTTTCTCTCGTACATAAGTATCTAGTACTTTATGTATATCAATAAAGGCCACGAGTGTGATCGATATAAAAACCACTAATTAATAGTAAATCGTATTCCGAACGTGCTAATAATGTAAACAGAACATGGTGAGTTCACATATAGTGGAAACTATATCTCCGTTTCTCAACTTCTTCACAAGAATCTTGACATCCATTTTTCAAATTATTCCTCTTTCATAAAAATCCCTTTATTTTCAAATTTCATCCTTTTTTTTTTATTAAATTTTTTCCAGATATGTTTTTAATCACATTTCCACTAAATTTTTGATTTCACCATGCAAAAAAAGAAAAAACATCCTACGAGGCATTTCTCTCATTAATTATATATTGATCTATATATAAAAATCCTTTCTTTTGATATTGAATATCACTTGTTGCAAAATCGATTGCCTCCAGTAAGAAATCTCGATTCTTTTAAATTCTATATTCGCAAAAATTTCCCCCTTTGACTCCATTTCTACGTACATACAACAATACGTACAAAAATCTTGTAAAAGTACCTTATAAAGATTTGTTATTTTAAACAAAAAGAGAATTAAAAAAAAAATCCCCCATTAAAAAAAAACCAACATGACAGGCAGTGCAAATCGTGTTGCTGGACGTAATCAAGGAAAAGTTCGCAAACAGAATACTTTTCGAGAATACTGGCACACCTTCAGGAACACGTTTTGTTATTTAAAAAAAAAACGGAAAAACAAAACTGAAGTGATTTTACCAAAAAACAATAATTCACATCAGCGATTGTCGTTCAATGTCTCGGAAAAAAACGTGTTTTAAAAAAATAATTTCCAAGTGTTTGGAATTTCTTTTAAATTCGCAAAAAATATTTGCGATATTATTGATATTATTGCTTCCCCTTCCTTGAATTAATCTGGAAGACTGAATTATTTTCGCTCGATGCATCGACAAATAATAAAATTACTGTCGAATATTGAGAAGATATTTTTAACCATTTAAAAAAAATATATAAAAAAAATGCTGTCGTAGAAACAATGCATACATTCAATTAAAGGTCAATTAAAAAAAAAAAAAATATTTGTCTCGAATGATAAAGTTACTTAGTGGTTTAGAAAAAATAGAAAATAAATTTGAAATTTACATGTTCTCGAATTGATCAACACGACGCTTGGTGTTTCCTTTGCGAATTTCGCGCAATGTCTTGTACTTGTCGCGACCCTGACGAACGTTTTCTCTGTGAATTTTGTCCATCACCGTCTCTTTTGTTTCGTCACGTGATTGAGCGAGATCGTGCTTCAATGCCTGAATAAAAGAAAAAGAAAATTTTAATTGATAAAACAATAAAATTTAATTAATTGATAAACAATTTATTAATTTATTTTTAAGAAAAAATTATTTTCTAGGAGAAAATAATGAAATTAGAAGAAAGTACCTTTAATTGATGATGAAGACGTTCGTTTCTTTCTTCGAGAGTGCGTCTCTCTTCGACTGGATCAATTATCGACTCATCGGTGATAAGATCTTTTGTCACATCTCGATGTCTTCCTTCATATTCACCTTCCTCCTCCTCGCCCTCTTCTTCGTTCTCTTGGACATGATGATGAAGAGGTGTCGTTGCATTCGCTTGGAAAGTTTTTTCAGATTCCTCTTGTCGTAATCTAAAACAAAATACAATGGATTATTAACTGTTTCAAATTTTATCTTTCATTAGGTAAAATTTCTCATTTTCTTACCTAGCTGCTTCAACTTCGTCCTGTAACCTTCTGGCCTCAGCATCCTTCACTTCTACTTCGGACTGGATACGTTCCACCTCCTCCTTCTTGTCTCTAATCTCTTGTTCGAGTTTGGCTCGCTCAACGGCTTCCATTTCGTTCGAGCGCTCCAATTTCTCCATCATTACAGTCAATTCCTGACAATTGATTATTAATTAGCTGCCATAACTTTCTAATCTTGTCACAACTACTATTTTTCAATTTTTAATTATTTTAACTATTTTTACAATTTTAACTGCTTTTCACTACAGTTAACTCTCAATTAAACTTTCAATAAATTGAATTTTCTTTCTGGTTCCTTGAAAAAATTTTAATACTCAAAACATTCGATAATTTGAATTCTTTTGTGCCCCTTGAAATTTTATTTATCGAGAGTCAACTGTATTTTAACAATTTGAACTGTTTTTATTATTCTAACGAATAAACTTTTTTAAACTTTTTTACTATATTAACGATTTGCACTAATTTACTATTTTAACAATTTAAACTGTTTTTACAATTTTAACTATCTTTTTTAATAAATTTCCCTTTCCAGAGTTCTTAAGTAAAGTACATATATAAATTTACCTTTTGACGATCTTCCAATTCCTCTTTAGCAGCTTGCAATTGTCGTAATTGCTCCTCAAGGCGACGAATCATTTCCTGCGCTTCAGTTAATTCGGCGCTTCGCCTTTGAATTTCTTCGGCCATATTCCTGAGCCTTTCCTCATATTCTTGTTGCTTTTTCTCAGCCCGTTCGCGAGCTGCAATCTCAAGTTGAAGTTTCTCCCTCTGCTTCTCTCGTGCTATTTTTTCCTCCTTCGCTTGAGCCTGAAATTTAATTAAATATGTAATTAATATATATAACCAAACAATAGAAAAAATTATAATTTAATAAATAATTCATAAAAATTGCACAAATATAATAAATAATGTACGAATATAACAAATAATGTATAGAGATTAACATAAATTTAAATTAAGCATAAAATTGACAAAAATGAACAAATTAAAATTAACAGAAGTAAAAATAAAATTTGTAAATAAAAAATTGAATGAAAATAATAAAATGTAATTGATTAAAAATGCTTACTTTCATCTGTTGAACGTCAATAGTATCGGGTTTACGCCTACGCATGTAGAGTTCGTGATTTCCCATGCAAAGGGCAAGGATTCTTTTGTTTATCTTAACACGATGCGCAAGAAAAACAAAGTCTGGTGCTTTTTTGTCAATTGGTTTGATCATGAATTTTTTGTCATGGAATGAAATATTTCGAATTTCAGACCAGGGGAAACCAATTTTTGGCGTGAGTTTGTCATTTTTCTCATAAATATTCAAACCAAGTGCATCGACTCCCAACCAAAGTTCAGTTTCCTTTTTGTTTTTAATCTCAAAATAATTAACGCCATACATTTCCAAATCCTAAAATAGAGGAAAATTTTTGTTCTTTAATTATAAATTCAAAATAGTAACTTGCAAATCAAAATTAATTTAAATACATTTCAATTCAATAGAATTTAAAAATCAACGAAATTAATTGTAATTAATTTATAATAAATAAAATAATTTACAAATAGAGAAGTAAATTAATAAAAAGAAAGAAAGAAAGAAGGAATAAAAAGAAAAATACAAACTTGAGCAATTTTCAAGTATTCCATCATTGCATCTTCGCGAATCATTCCACGGTGTTCCTGCCACCAATTAGTAATAGAGGTTTCCCATTCTTCTTTACTCATTTTATGTTGGTCCATGACACGTTGCGGAAGTAGACGGTCATTTGTCAAGAATCCTGTTGTGTGGCTTGCCTTATTGTAATCATTGTATCTTGCTTGCACTGCATAAGAGGCGAGAAGAACAGACGTCTCAGGTGGACAATAAATATCGTCGGTGAGTATGGAATTTTTTACCTAAAAAAATTGCAGTATATAATAATTTTTCTCTATAAAGAAAAAAATTTCCAGTTTATCTTTAATTTGAAAAATTAATTATTACTATCAGGTATTATTAAATTATAATTATTATTTTATAAATTGGAAATTAAATTATAAATTAAATTATTAATTAAAATATATAAATTAAATTTTAGATTTGTTCAAAAAAGAATTTGCCAAGTACCTGAAGATAGAAGAGGCGCAAAGTTATATCCTGGATGAGTTCCTCGGAAACATCCTCGGGATAGAATTTGGCACGAAACTTGAATTGAAGTGGATTCTCCTTTTTCACTTCTTGATTGACCACCTGAAAAATAATCAATAAATTGTTAATTATTATTTATAGTAACAAAAAAAGCAATAAAGACATTTTTGTCTTTTTTTTCGTTTTAAAAGGCATCGAGTGATATTTAAAAATTATTTCTTGCGTGCTATAAAAGAAAAATAATCTTAAAATACAGTGCAAACAGAAATAAAAAGAAAACTACTCCTCATCTTGACATTTCAAATCAATTTCATGTTTTTCGTCGAAGGATATAGAGAAAGACAAACACAATTTCCTGCCAGTGTCGTAAACTTTAGAAATAGAAGTGCAAGAAGCTGAAAATAATCTTGAAAATATTTTGAGAGATGAATAAATCAATCTCTTTAACTTCCTCTCGTAATTGCTTTTTCATTTATTAGAAATCTTATACTAAAACTAAAATAAAAATACGAAAAATTAATTTAATTTCTCAAATTAATTTTGTTCGTTAATTTCTTTTTGCCGTTTTTTTTTAATAAAAAATAACAATTTTCTGTATTTTTTTCAAAATCAATCAAGAAAGACATGCACTTTATTGAGGCAAAACTCTGCGAGTCTTTTTTCTTCCTAAAGAATTAAAAAAAAGAAGCTACTTTTTTTTTTTAACAAAAAATGTCACCTGTTTGACATTATTCCAAGTTTGCCTTGACTCGACGTTGTAGTTCAATGCTAGTGCCATGATTTTTCATATTCATTAATAAGCCATGTTTAGTTGTGTAACATGACTGATAATAACAAATTGACGGAAGGAAGATATTGTAAAAAAAAAATAGCGTGCGTTATAGAAAAAAGCATAAACACACGAGACAGACTAGATTTTTTCCTGTTCAAGCTTCCTGGTAACGAAAATAATATATAGATGAGCCGGAGAAAAAAAGAACAAGAAAAATTGTGTTTTTTTCAATTTTATCACCTAATTAATTCCAATTATTAGTTTGTACAAAGTTTGGTAAAAACGATGTAATAATTTTATCCAGTAAATTAATAAATAACAAAACGGTCTAGTTATTAGTAAACATATTTACATAATACGATATTTTTCTTCTACTTTTTCAATTATACATTACGTGTAAAATCACAGGAAGCTTTTCAGAATATCTTTATAATTGATCGTTAAAATCTTCGTTAAAATTGAAATACTCGAAAACAAAACTAGTTTAAAATGTCCTACAAAAAAAAATAAAAAATAAGACTTTTTCTCTTTTCATTTTATGTGACACAAACAGTGATTAGAATAATTTTTTTACGCTAATTTTAAATCTTACATTGCTGAATTTGCGATGCTTGAATGGAACCACCTGCAATCATTTTACATTTGTTTTTTCTACAAACTTTTTCATTTTACTTTTTGTAAATAATTTTTTCCTTCTCATTATAAAGTAAACGATATCCAACAGATTAATTTTTCTACTTTGTATATTTTACACAAAATTATATAAATAAGGAATAATTATAAATTATAAATATTTTAACAAAAAAAGAAATTAATAAAGATTATTTCGCAGAAGGAAAATATTTACATATAGAATCGAGAAGAAAATTTATCATAATATACAGGTCACTGTTATAGATAAAAATAACTAAAAAATCTAATCAAATATTATTATTTGTTCATGCATTTGAAACGATTTGTTATCAAATTGGTTAATAGTCTTACCCTAGACAAGAATGAAAGTCCAGCCTTCCAGTTGTTAAATATAGTGTTGTGCATGCGTTAAAAACAAGGAAAATACGAAACAGTTAACGTATGCAGGAAAAGTGATTCACTGGCATTCTTTTTTTAAAAATAAAAATTTGCTATGCATTTATCTGTAAGACATTATTCCTTTGGAATAATTTATTAATTCGTATCAGTAATTATTAAAAATTCGCTCATATCATTTTTCTTTTTTCACCATCGCGCAAAAATGTGTGGAAAATATTCGAAATTTCTCAATTTAATTGTCAAATCAGACATAATTCTTTTTATTCTAAAAAAAAAGAGAAACAGAAACAAAAAGGAAAGAAAATAACGACAAAGAAACCAAAAGACGAAAAATAAACTAAAAAACAAAAATTAAACAAAATAACGACAAAGAAACCAAAAGACGAAAAAATAAACAAAAGAGAAACAAAATAACGACAAAGAAACCAAAAGACGAAAAATAAACAAAAGAGAAACAAAATAACGACAAAGAAACTAAAAAACGAAAAATAAACTAAAAAACAAAATAACAACAAAGAAACCAGAAAACGAAAAATAAACTAAAATAGAAACAAAATACGAAAAAGAAACCCAAAAAATAAAAATAAACCGCAAAAATACAAAAATAGAGAAACAAAAGAAAACAATAAATTAAATAATTTCACCAACAAGAAAGTATATTACTCTTATCAGGTAACATAATACGTTATCTTTTTCATTCCCCGATGTCAATTAGAGACACGAAAAGTGTATTTCACTTAATCTAATCTTTCGTTTTTTGTCATAAAACTTCAAACGGAATTAGTTTAAAACAATTTTCGTATATAGACAATACATTTTTTTTACACAACAACCATTAAAAACGTTAACTGACAAGAGAAAAAAAGGTCACGGAAAATAGCACCTTACATAAATGTATAAAAAGAGAAAAAAAAAAATCTTATCGAAAAAATGGTGATATATCGACCTCTGCTATTACAAAATTTCTAGATACAATTATTATTATTATTGCATTTTTCTCACTGGGCTAATAATTGTCGTCTGGCATGACGAATTCATACACAGCGACTTAATCATTTACAATCGTACAATCATTAAACTTTCTTATAATAAACCTGCCAAGACTCCTTGCTAATTACTTTTGATAAAGTTCTCTCATAACATGTTTATTGCGACAATTGTAAAATTCAGTTAATGATCGATTATTGTATTTCAAGTCTAACGATATTTACAAATTAATTAAAATAATTACAAAATTAATTTCCAATAATTATAAATTAATTTGAATCAATTGTAAATTAATTCGAATCAATTGTAAATTAGTTCCGATAATTGTAAATTAATTTGAATCAATTCTAAATTAATTCCAATAATTGCAAATCAATTTCCAATAATTATAAATCAATTTGAATCAATTGTAAATTAATTCCAATAATTGCAAATCAATTTGAATCAATTGCAAATTAATTCCAATAATTGAAAATTAATAAATCGGTTTCAATATAACTATAAAATAATTTAAAATAAAGTCAATAAATTTCAGTAACTATTATAAATTAATTTCAATAACTAGAAATTAATCTAAATAACTAGAAATTAATTTGAATCAATTACAATCAGATTAATTTAAATTAATTAAAATTATTTAACACATTAATTAAATCAAATAACCATCTTCTCGAGTAATATAAATTTATAATTACATATTTATTTAATTACCGAATCATACAATTATTTATTTAATTATACACTTCCACAATTAAGTAAATAATGAATCAAAAGAACATACGGAGATATTTTATAAAAAATTTTAAAACTTTTAAAAATAATTGTCAATATTTAATGATTATTAATTTAATTAATTTGATTTAATTTTAATTAGATTTAATGAAATTAAAACAAAATATATTTAATTATCTTATTTAATCATTGAATATTAATAATTATTTATTAAAAAATTAAATCGAGAAAAATGGTAATTTTTATAAATATTTTGAAGGTGAGCTTAAATCGAAAGTGTTCTTGCTCTAATTGATAAATAAATCAAGTTAGGAAAATTTAATGGTCAAGTAAAGTTCGAGCTTGAGAATTTATTTAATTAAGGGGGTCATTCACCGCTCAACAAAGCGCTCTATGATATTATTCGCACGTGGATAATTCAGTCACGAGTAGCACCACTAAGCTGATTTATATACTTTATGATCTATTCAATCGCAAATAAACATATTTTCCTCAAATATTAAAAATTTCCTTTTACCAAATAAAATCAGAAAATAATTAGTGAAAAGACATTTGCTAATTCAGACAAGAAAATCATCGAATAAAAAATTATCCATTGAAGAAAAACGATTATATACAGAAAAGAATTATTGGATTTGGAAGAATCATTATTTTTCGAAGAATAATTTTCAGAAAAATAAAGTTCAGAAGAATAAGTTTTAGACGAATTATTTTCAGAAGAATAATTTTTAGATGAATAATTTGTAGAAGAATAATTTTTAGAAGAATAATTTATAGAAGAATAATTTGTAAAAGAATAATTTTTAGAAGAATAATTTTCAGAAGAATAATTTTTAAAATAGTTATTACTTTTGGAATTATTAATTTTACAAGAACGATTAAATGATACACGAGAAGAAAACAATTTAAAAGAAAAAATTATCATAAGAATGATCGATTAAAAAAAAATTATCAAATTACATAGGAAGAGAACAGATTTTCAGAAAAAATTATCAATCGTGGAAAAAATATCAATTAAAAAAATAATTCAATTTAATTAATTCACCTAGAAGATTACTTTGTCTAGAAAAACAATTTCTATTAATGAACACACTCAGGAAAAATATATATTTGAATCAAAGCCAACAAAATTTTTTATTTGGTTCAAAAAAAATTTTCTTCGGTTCAAAATACATTTAATTCGATTCAAATAAATTTTATTCGGTTCAAATAAATTTAATTCGATTCAAATAAATTTTATTCGGTTCAAATTAATTTTATTCGGTTCAACTAAATTTTAATTGGTTCAAAAAAAATTTTATTCAGTTGAAATAAAATGTTATTAGGTTCGAATGAATTTTATTCGATTTAAATAAATTTTATTCGGTTCAAATAAATTTTATTCAGTTCAAATAAATGTTATTAGGTTCAAATACATTTTATTCGGTTTAAATAAATGTTATTCGGTTCAAATAAATTTCATTAGGTTCAAATAAATTTTATTAGGTCCAAATAAAATTTTATTTGTGTCGAATAAAATTTCTACTGAAAACAAATAAATAATTATATAGAAGTCTCTGAGACAAATATACTTCTATTT